TGGAAGTAAATGATATTCATTATCCATTTTTTATTGGCAATTATGGAAAGTAAATGATCTATTACAGTAACAGTAATCTATTTCATAAGCTGGAGTTCCCTCCCATTTTGTATAAGAATACAAAAATAAAGAAAACATAAAATATGTGAAAGTAATTAAATTTACTTATTAATAATAATAGAAATATTACTAATAAATCAATAGTTATAACTCCATCAACATAATCGAGGTATCTAAGAATTTGAAATCAAAGATACACATATTTATTCAAATTCCAACCTTATGACTCTACAAGAGAAAAATATAAACAGTGATAAAAAATATAATTCAAAACCAACAACTTTTTGTAGTTGCATCTGATCCACTATCAAGGGAGATAATTCATGCGAAATAAAAACATAAATATTAATCATTTGACGGTTATATGTGCCCCTTTTATGAAAATCTTAACAGCTTTGAAATGATTCAATTTTCAAACAGAAAATGGAATAAATATCGGAATATGTAAAACTCAGGTGAATTTGTATCTCATGTTACAAAAAGAATGTTAAATTTCTCTTACGAATTCTATGTTTTAATTCAGATAGAATTAAATATAAATTTTTCACATGAACTTTGATTCATGTTAATTTAAGGTGAATTTAACGTGAATTATTCACATATCCCTTCAATTTCATGTGAAAAAAGATTTTTTTAATGTAAATTAATATTTTCAATGGAAAACATGTATATAAACTCATCATAGATACCAGGAATAAAATTTTGTATTTGCACCAGACGCGCGTTTCGTCGACAAAAGACTGTTACACCGGAGTGTAACACAAGGTATTTGATAAGTTTTAATTTTGAGGTTATTTTTTTCAACTTGGACACAATAAATATTTTTTCATGTGAAATGCATCTGAAAAATTTAACGTAAAATTCATGTGAAAAATTTAACTTGAATTCAAGTCAACAAAATTTGCCTGTGTAACACATGCGTTACACATGCGTTTTACTATACATGAGTTACACATGCAAGTATCGCATGTGTCACATGCGTTTTCCAACACATGCGTGTCACAGGTGTTTTTCTGACACATGCGATTCACATGCATGTGTTAGAAGCATGTGTATTACGCATGGGACACACCTGTGACACATGCATTTTTGGGTACATGCATGACACATGCGTGGCATTTTTGCCCTATTAGTCACTATCAAAACAAACAAATATGTAACAAAGTAGCACAAATGGCATATAGACAAAGCACATTTGCATAAATGAAAGACAAGAATACAAAAATTTACAATAGCACAATAACACAATAACACAATGACGGGATGTATAAGTATAGAGCCACGCCATGTGTATCAAAGAAACACAAAAGGCATATACACAAAGCACATTGGCAAAAATGAAAGACAAGAATACAAAGTTATCATAGAACAATAACTAAATGACGAGATGTATAAGTACAGAGCCAAGTCATGTGTATCAAAGAAACAGAAAAAGGCATATAGACAGAGCACATAAGCAAAAATGAAAGACAAGAATACAAAAATTATCATAGAATAATAAAGTAATGACGGGATGTACAAGTACAGAGTCACTTAAAATGGATATCATAAAAAGCAGACTAAACAGTAAAAGTAATATTCATGAAGACAAATTAAGATGATAAACAACGTCAGTAACCAGAATCTATACTTACAGACCATCGTGTATTATTTGTGAAGTTGATACGGAATATTTATCAACAAAGTCTTGGTACCTTCCGATTAACTGTTTTAGAAAAAGTACGAGACGTTCTTTGACATACACCTGGTTCATCAACTTTCTGCTCAGACACTGGTGACGTTTTACAAAGTCTGAGAAGGATCAACAAGCTCTTGAATACTGAATAAATTGTGAAATGTATATCCCATATGCAGGTGTAGTTGGTGTATTGCTACTGAGGTGGGGAAATTGATAATGTCAAAATTAAAATCGTATCGTTTGTCATAGATTTTGGTACTGAGATGACTGTGTATGTCAAATCCGAGGTATAAGCCTTACATGCCTAAGGCGCTGGATACAGTGCAGGCAGCGTTGTCTCGTAACCCCAATAGAGTTCGAATACCGGGGGAAGAACTAATATTTGTTTCCGCAAATTTGCAGATTTTAATTGTTGTTCTGATCAATATTAGAGTAATTATAAAAATATATATTTATAATGTCTGAATAATAGCCAACGATAAATCTTGCGGGCCGATGGATCATATAATTATGTTACAGTACACTACAAAATATAATATATAAATATAATTAAAGGTCAATTGTTCACAAACAATTGAAAGGTCTTTCCTTCCATATTTTTTCTTAAAATATACTGTCATACACATGTCGAACCAACAAACTGGTGTTGTCTTTTGATAGGAGGAATTTAGTGGTATATCTATGACTAATACTAAAATCATGTTACACTCCCCTACACCATGGGTCCCCAGTTTATTTACATTTCACCGGGATCTTTATGAATATGATACTACTACAAGTAGTAAGAATAAACATCTGTGAGGTTCATGATTGGATGGTTTATGCTTTTAATTGATTAATTTTATGAAAGATCAACCATTTATGTGCCAAAATAACAATAATTTAGAGTGATACATTTGAAAGTTTCTGTGACCTTAACCACTGCTTGTCGAGGATATTTCCAGTGCATAAGCATGCTGATTTTTTTTTGTTCATTGAAATAATTTATTATGTACTTTCAGCAGATGATGAGTTTAATTTCAGAATCTATTCATTTTAGACCTTTTTTTAATTGTCAGGTTCCAAACAGACAATGTACCCTATTGATAATGCATTGTGAATAATTGAGCAATTGTACCCTATATGACCAATCATGACCTTGACCTTTGAACTTGACATCAATTTTATAGTCATGTATCAAAGACCTCAAATCAAAAGTCCCTAGGCCTTAACGACTAACAGCTTATTAGATTAAGCATCATACCACTTAAGTCAAGTATTTAAATAAAGGCAACAGTAGTATACCGCTGTTCGAAACTCATAAATCGATAGAGATAAAAACAAATCCGGGTCACAAACTAAAACTGAGGGAAACGCATCAAATATAAGAGGAGAACAACGACACAACAAAAACACAACATTAAAATGTAACACACACAGAAACGAACTATAATATAACAATGGGCATTTTCCTGACTTGGTACAGGACATTTTAAGAACAAAATGGTGGGTTGAACCTAGTTTTGTGGCATGCCAAACCTCCCGCTTTAATGGCAACGTCAAACACAAAACCAAAACGACAACATCACATGACAGGACCACAATACAAATAAATGGGAGAACATATAGGACAAAGAAACACACGAATAACAGCTAACAAAAGGTACTAGGCTTAAACATGTTAAAATCCAATACGCCAGACGTGCGTCTCGTCCACACAAGACCATCCAGTGACGCTCAGATGAAAAAAGCTTGAAAGCCAAAACAAGTACAAAGCCGAAGAGCACCGAGGACCAACACTTCCAAAATGTTGCGCCTAACACGGCCAGGGAGATAACTCCTATTATAAGTCAACGGATAACTTCGACTTAAATGTATCAAAGTTGCGCCATGTCCTAAGGAACATTAAAAAACCATTTTGTCTATACTAGTATATGTAATGATTTTTGAGAAAAAGAGATAATAAAGTTTTCGGTGTTAGGGGAGACAACTGCTATAAAGGAAAGTTACTGTACAGTGCCCTAACTGCATGATGGCTTTCGGTCAACTGATACTTGATACTTAATATTATTTTAACATGCCACAATTTTGCGCGCATGACACAATTTTATTTGGGGGGGGGGGGGGGGGAAGTCGTTCAAGTTTGGTGGAAAATAAAATAATAATAAATATCTATACTATTGATAATATTCTGAGTTCAAAAATATATGGTTGCTAAGGACTTTCATGTTCATAACAAGTGGTTGCTAAGGACAAAAATCATCACTAAGGACAAAAATAATTGTTAAGGACAAAAGTATTACTTCCAGTATTAAAAATGTCATATCTACTGTTAATAGCCTTTAAAGTTAAAAAAAAAAATAAGTGGTTGCTAAGGATTTATATGTCGTTGCTAGGGACAAAATGTATTTTCCAGTATTAAAAATTTCATTTTTTTAATTATTCTTAGCCTTTTAAGTTCAAAAATATATGGTTATCTCTAACCTTGTATCTTGATATCTTCATTTCGGACCCCCAAAAACAGTTTTGGTACCCTAGGTCCATAATTGTTGGTCCAATAATTTTGGACCCAACATAACAAATGTAAATCTCGAAAGACACACATTGTCTCTATTACATTTTATCAGCCATCTTTTACAGTTATTGAGTAAATCAGATATCGAGCTAAGGTCAAAATCTCGGTCATGACCTTCACATTTGAACTTGAAGCATTTCCTTGGTCATATACATTGATGATCATTGGTGAAGATCGTAGGTGGCTACAAATTACGGTTTCTGAGTTTTAGTGGCCAACCGACAACGGTTAATTTTCAAAGGGCATAACCCTTCTAAATAGTCGTTCAATCTGTTTGATCCAAATGTAACATAGAACCAAGGGATGGTCCTGAAGAAATTTCACCCTTCGGTTTTTTTCTACCTATTACGGTTACGGTGTTTGAATGATAACAAGGTTTTCGGTGTTAGGGGAGATAAGCACTATGAAGGAAATGTTACGGGGTGGTGCCCTAACCATAAGATAGCTTTTGGTCAACCGATACTTGATACCTAATATCATTTTAACATGTCGCGTACTTTTTTAGGGAAATGTCGTAAATGTTTGGGGGAAATAATAATAATAATAATAATCAGAAGAATTTCCTTATAGTGAAAGGAAAGACCTTAATAAGCAAGTCTAAAAGGGTACAACATCACAAAAAAAAAGTTAAATCATAAACAAATGTTTAATATTTCGGATAGCTAATATCCTTCATCAATAAAATGTCAAATGATTCTTATCTTGACATGTGGTATATATATTTATTTATTCATATTTGAGCAAGGAATAATTACATATATCATACATAGGCAATACCTTCATATAAGATTTATGCTCTAATTGTTACAAGTTCAAACATGTACAAGTAAGCACTAAAGTGGTTAACAATCCAAATAGAATGATTCAGCATATCCAGTCAATAAGTAAAATCATAGCATATATGAAAATAGATAAATAATATAAACATCTTTAATCAGGCTTTACTTCAATGTAATGATGTGAAAATTCATACGAATGCCTATCGTCTCTGCCGTTTTCAAGATCTTCATAAATATCACTGATTTCCATGTAATGGCCTGTTTCGTTGCTCTCTGTTGATTCCTCATATCCAGTATCTGTTTCGTTGTACACATGAACTTGGTTTTCGTCTTCTGGCGCGGCGTAATATCTACATGAAAACAAACTTTCTTTTAGACTCAACTGATAAAGCCTTTGTACCCTTCATGAAGTTTACTATATTAGAAAATAAAACGGAAAAAGTTAGTGTTCAGTACTGAGAATTGACAATTTCCTGTTGTGTTTAGAAAAAACGTTATCAAAAATTACGAAGAAGGAGATATTTTCCTCTGTTTTTTTTGGCAAGAAAACAAATATGCTAAAATGTAGATTTTAGATTTTCAAGTTATGAACATGAACCAACAATATAACTAAACCACAACTGGTAGTGATATGAAAAGAAAGAGAAGTTACCATTGAATAATCACAAATTAAGTAAAACAGACAACATGGGTATGGGTTTTTCTCATTGTTAAAAGCCGTACCGTCGCCTACAATTGCTGACATCCACTTCATTTGAACTTTGATGGAAAAATGTCTCTTTGCTAAGAAGATGTTTGAAATAGTTTACACCGGACGGACGACGACGACGGACGCACAGTAATGACAAAAGCTCACTTTTCCTTTGGAAAGGTGAGCTAAAAGGGGAAATCAAATTCTTTGTATTGAGTTGGTCATTCTTTTCATTTTCCATGATGTTGAGGAACATTTAGACGAAGAACTATAAATAAATATAGACATACCGTATAACCTCTCTTGTTTTATCTTTTTTACATAACTGCTTTATAGCTGAATATTAGTTTGAGCAGACTATACTTACATTGCTCCTCTTCCGGGGTTTTTTAAATAACATTTCATTTCTAAATCGCCTAAAATTGAAAATCAATTTAATCAATTATATAGGAATACAAGGAGGAAGGTATGCATCTGTTTTTGTTTGTTTTTATTGATAGGAAACTATACTGAAATACTTTTTTTTCTTAATTTTGTGATACGGGCTAATTTTTATTGCGGTGTTCTTTACTCTTTGTTTTGAAGTAACACCATTGTGCTAGGTTATATAGATCGTTACGCTCTCACACAAATATGAATACCCTACACATCTTTTAATGCGTGTCCTGAAGTCCGCTGACTGATATTACTCGTTGTTTGTCATTGTTTTATTTCGTTCAATGGTATAGGACCAACCCAAGTCGTTGTCTGTATGTTTTCAAACTTCCTTCTTTTTTTCCCCAATGCCTTTTATAACATATTGTACTGCATAAATTTTACTCGTCGTTGTAGGTCGTACCTTGACATGTAGTTGTTAACTTTTGTCTTTTGATTGGAATGTCTCATCGTTAATCATACAATTTTTTTTAAGTGTTGTCTACAGTAGACTTATTAGTGGCATTCCTTTCCAAACAGTTGGATTTAAACAGGAAATCCCTACTCATAATAATCATCATTTATCTAACCATTGAATAAATGAATAATTGATAATCATGCTGCCAGTTGAATGTGTAAAAGTGGGCGTCAACAACTGGAATCGTATTACCTCTAAACAGAGAAGACAAGTTCAGACGTTTTAAGAAGGGATATAGTTACAATACTGTTGTCAGGTCATTAAAGATGGCATATTTTGGCTTTGATATTGATTCTCTTATAGGGTCTTTGCATCGGAAATAAAGACATTTATTTTCAAACAAGTTGTTGGCATGACACGGGTTATGTTCTTCTCATATATTTTATGATGATATGATAATAAACCCATAACGGGATAGATTGTGCTTGATATTCATATGATGTAGACATAATCTTTCAATCCGTTTGATTGAGGTCTGGAGCTGGAATGTCATTTACTGCTATTAGTCTTTGTTAATTAATGTACCATTATCATTTTACTTAGTTTGGTACCTATTCTGACATCGGACTGGGACTTCTTTTAAACTGAGTTTTACTGTGCGTATTGCTGTGTGTTTGTTTTTATACATTTGCTAGAGGTATATGGGGACGATTGAGATCTTACAAAACATGTTTAACCCCGCCGCATTTTTGCGCCTGTCCCAAGTCAGGAGCCTCTAGCCTTTGTTAGTCTTGTATGCTTTTTAATTTTAGTTCATTTTTATATTTCGGAGTTTAATATGACGTCCATTATCACTGAACTAGTACACTTTTTTGTTTAGGGGCCATTTGAAGCATGCCTCCGGGTGCGGGATTTTCTCGCTGTGTTGAAGACCCATGAATAGCCTTCGGCTGTTTTCTGCTCTTTGGTCGGGTTGGTGTCTCTTTGACACATTCCCCATTTCCATTCTCAATTTCAGTTACATTGAAAGATTAGAAATCGCCTTTTTGCATACAAGAACATGAATACTAAAAATATTCAATGTAAGTTATTACCACACAGATTTTATCATCAGAACATATAATATTTCAGAATTGAGATGTCTCTAGGAGTTATTTTTCAAATAGAATAATATGAAGGAGAAAGAAAGTAAAACAAAAATACCAAACTCAAAGGCAAATTCAATACCGGGAAGTTAATAAATAAAATTGAGAATGGAAATGGGGAAAATGTCAAAGTGACAACAACCCGACCAAAGAGCAGACAACAGCCGAAGGCCGCAAATGGCTCTTCAACGTAGCGAGAAAATCCCGCACCCGGAGGTGGTCCTTAGCTGGCCCATAAATAACATTGTGTACTAGTTCAGTGAAAATAGACGCCACACTAAACTCCAAACATTTAAATGAATTTAAATTAGTCATTTCGGGGCCTTTCATAGCTGACTATGTGGCATGGACGTTGCTCATTGTTGACGGCCGTACGGTGACCTATAGTTGTTAATTTCTGTGTCATTTGGTTTCTTGTGGAGAGTTGTCTCATTGGCAATCATACCACATCTTTTTTGTAAAATTAAAAACATACAAGACTTACAGAGGCTCCTGACTTTGGACAGGCGGAAAAAGGCGGCGGGGTTAAACATGTTTTGTGAGATCTCAACCCTCCCCTATACCTCTAGCCAATGTAGAATAAAGAAACATAGCAATACACACAGTAAAACTCAGTATAAAAGAAGTCCGAGTCCGATGTCAGAATAGGTAACAAAAGAAACTAAGCGATGACAATGATACATAAATTAACAAAGGACTACTAGCAGTTACTGACATGCCAGCTCCAGACCTCAATTAAACTGATTGAAAAATAATGTTTTCATTATATGAAAATCAAGTACAATCCTTCCCGTTAGGGATGTATTATCATACCATCATAAAATATATGAGAACATATTCTTCCCTTAGTTTATTTATTTTATATTTACATTGTATCAGAGGTCAAATTTATTTGTTCAGTGTATGTTCACTGGTGTTAATATGTCCTTTGATTGAGTTAAGCTATTTCAGTTGATATTTTAAAGTGTGTCTTTCTATGTTGTGATGTTACACTATTGTTTCAGAAAAAGGGAGAAGGTTTGGTACCATTAAAACGTTTAAACCCGCTGCATTTGTTTGCACCTGTCCTAAGTCAGGGATCTGATGTTCAGAAGTTGTCGTTTGTTGATGTGGTTCATAAGTGTTTCTCGTTTTTTATATAGATTAGACCGTTGGTTTTCCCGTTTGAATGGTTTTACACTATTCATTTTTTGGGCCCTTTATAGCTTACTGTTCGGTGTGAGCCAAGGCTCCGTGTTGAAGACCGTACTTTGACCTATAATGGTATACTTTTATAAATTTTGACTTGGATGGAGAGTTGTCTCATTGGCACTCATACCACATCTTCTTATATCTAATAACCCGTATCATGCCAACAACTGGTTTTAGAATAGATGTGTTTATTTCCGATGCAAAGACCCTATGAGTGAATCAATATTAATACCAACATATGCAATCCTTAATGACCTAAAAACAGTATCGTAAATATATCCTTTCCGAATAAGTCTGTTTAAAGGTTTAGTTAGCTTTTGAGGTGAATGCCGACATTTTTGTGCTTTGTAAAGTATATTACCATAAAATATTGGATGTGAAATACCTGAAAGTATAAGATGTCTGCATGTTGATTTATATTTACGAATGATGTCGTTGTACCGATGATAAAATTTAGTAAATGTTTTGACTAGCCTGTGATATCGAAAACCCTGGTGTAATAATTTTTCAGTAATACAAAGATTTCGTTCGTTCAAATCAAATACGTTGTTACATACACGAGCGAATCGAACAAGTTGAGGTATATAAACACCATAAGATGTTGACATGGGAACGCTATCAATGGTGACAAAATCAACGCTAACAATCAACGGAACAAGTGGAAAAAAAACTGCTATATTCCTGACTGGGGCAGGTATTTTCAAAAGATGCGGATCTTTGTATTTATTAGAAAGATTTATACATTTTGTACTCTAGTTTTCTGTAAATCAAATCCTTATTCAAAGGCATGTTGCTTATTAAATTTCTTGTGAAAGACTGCAAATTCAAATTATTACTTCATACAACTGTTTTAACCCCTATGACATGTTTTTGAACATAAAACATCATTATCGGCCGGAAATGATATATGAACAATTGTATTTATATTTCCTACTTATTATCAGATTGAATATAAAAAATTTGCCTTTGTTGATTAATCTGTCAATTTTATATTTAGTGATATTTTACCTGTTAAACTGTTTATTTTGATAACAGTTCCAATAGCGCCTACTGTTACTATGAATACGACCATACCAGTTAACACCAGCAAGATAGACGAGAATAAGAAACTTGATTGTTCTGAAATTATTATTTTTTTTCATCAAAATGTAGAAATACTTATCAGAAGCGAATATTGAGCTTTCCCATCTTTCATATAAACACAAATTTACAATAGCGCCGAAGATATGATTTTTCACGACTTATTCACCAAATTATAAGAATAAGAACATGTGGTATAATTGTCAAAGAGACAACTCTCCGCCAGAGACCGAATTACATCGAAGTAAGCAATTATAGGTCACATCTGGTTTCTATTCTTTTCATATTTCTTTTAAACATAAAAGCGGTAAAGAGCAAAAGTTAAGCCGTCAACCCCTTATGTTTCTAATTTCCTTACCCACTGAAAAAAAATGAAAAATCCGAGTATCGCAGCCTAAATTATCAATCAGTACACATTATGCATACGTTAAGCTTGGTCTATGTGACTCTCAGTTTAACTGTCGCGAATATCATATGCGACACTAAGTAAACTCAATTTGCAACAGTTGAACCGACCTATTTTTAAGTAGGTACATGGGTGATGGTTTTTTCCACATCTTACGGTTTCGTGTTGCCCAGTCTTTAGTTTTCTATGTTGTGTTTTGTGAACTGTTGTTAGTATGTTTTTTTTTTCTTTTTTAGCCATTCCGTTAGCTTATTTTTGACTTATGAGTTTGAATGTCCCTTTGGTATCTTTCGCCTCTCTTTTACATGATCAACGTTTTAATAGACATTAACTTACTTAAACAAAAACAAATGTGTGAAAGTACTGATACAGGTTAAGATACATTTACTAGTAAGTGAAATAAGATTCATATAAGTAAATGCATATTGCATTTATGCAATTTTAACCTTAACGTTTCAAATTTTACTCCACCATTTCAACAATTAATATTCCTATTATTAATTTACTTTTATCATTTCATCAAAATCAACATCATTCTCGTTTCTTTTTCGTACAATTGTTGTTATAACCTTTAATAAAATTCTACAATAAGAGTACCTGAAATCAAGTTAAACTTGTATTCTGTTTCACCATATCTGTTGGAGAGCATTACAGTGTATTCCCCTCGAGCTTTATTGTTCAGACTTAAATTTGTACTGAATCCAGACAGTACAACTTCTTTCCCATGTATTTGAGAAACGAGAGTCGTTCTTGTATTGATGATCGTAAATAATGTAGAATTGACTAAAGATGTCTTGTACCTGAACCACCGTGGACTGTTTGGTTCAGCATCAGATAAATAATCCACGGACAACAACGTAATGGATTCATTATAGAGATATGATGCAACTATAAAAGGAGGTTCTGAAAATAAAAAGGTAATTACATATAACCACCTCAACACTGATGGATTTTATTTTTATTATATGTAGATAACCACATATTTTGCATTTGTTTAAAGGTAAATTGTATCATTATATAGGTTTTCGCCAGTTTTGAGACGATTATCCATTAATCAAAATTCACGAAGTTTTGACATTTTTACCTATTATGTCTGTTTGTTTTGTTTGCACATTGTTGTCAATATTATAGAAGTTTATGCGACTGTTGAACAAGTGAGATATTAAGTTAGCTATGAAACCAGGTTTAACCCACCAATTTTACATAAGGAAATGACTTAACCAAGTCAGGAATATGACATGTGTTTTCCATTTATTTGATGTGTTTGGGCTTTTGATTTTGCCCTTCGATAAGAGACTTTCCGTTTTGAATTTTCTTTAGATTTTGTTATTTCTGTTATTTTACTTTTTTCAAACAATAGTCATGCACATGTTTTCATTCAATGTTAAATTTATACATACACATCCGTTTGGAACAGAAATACATAATCTTTAAACATTAAATTGAAGAAATTATTCAGAAACAGAAAAGCTGATAAATAAAAGATATTTGATTTCTTTTAAAATAAAAAAAAAAAGAAAGCTTCTAGTTGGGTATTGTTTTTAACACTTTAACATTTTGAAACTTATTCTTTATATACGTCTAAAACTGTACTCTTTATCTATTCCAAGGCTTAGAACCGAATGCACTCGTTAGATATTGTACATTATTAAAACATCTTTAAAAAATGAAATACAGAACTAGGCAATAGTTTTAGGTCAATTTTCACTGATCATGAATGAAGAATACATAGCAAAATGAGTTAACCATAGCGACACGTCCGTACTCTCTCCATTTTTATTTGATGCAATTCCTCATTTTTTTCATAGGGTTATATATTACAAATGAAACATAGATAAAGTACAGTCAATTCAGATTTGGATATTTGTTGTTGTTTAAAACAAATCTTACCCCTAAAAAATGTTCAGCGTCAAGAACTTCGATAGCTCTTTTGTAGTGAATGACAAATTTATTGAATATTACCCAGATGCAATCTTAGGACTGCGACATTTCTTAATATGTCCTACGACATGTCTAAGTCCTATGTGGGTTTCACAAAGTGGTCCTTTTTATGACATCTCTTAAAGTTGTTCATTTAGTTAGGACTACACGAGAATTGTCTTATGATGGTCGTAGGATAGTTATAAGTTGTGACATCGTTATGATGTTCAAATAAAGGCAGCAGTAGTATATGCTGTTCAAAAGTCATAAATCGATTGAGACAAAACAAATCCGGTGTACAGACTAAAACCTAGGAAAACACATCAACTATAAGAGAAAAACAACGAAACAATAGAACACTGAAGTGCAACAAAAAACAAACGACAATGCAACATACATAGATACGGACTAATAGATAACAACTGTCATATTCCTGACTAAGTACAGGACATTAAAAGAAAAAATGGTGGGTTGAACCTGGTGTTGTGGCTAGCCAAACTTCGCGCTTTATGGCAATGTTAAATATACCACTAAAATGACAACATTACATGACGGGAATAAAGTACAAATAAATGAAAGAACACTCAAGACAGAGAAATGCATATATAAATAATATAATACCACATCTCGACATGTTAACCACAGCCTAAAAACGAATAACTAAAATTTTTAGAACAGTACACAAAGCATCATTATAGAATTACGAACTGTGTGCTTGTCACACGAAAGTATCAAGGCCACAAAACGTAACGTCACAGGCAAATTTCTAAAAATTAGTGATAAATCAAGACAACTTTCTAATTATGATATTTAATGTATTGTATAACAGTTACAAGAATATTAATATAGAATTGTGTTAGTAATTGTGCAACTAACTGCACTATCTAACTATGTCGGCCTTTCTTCCAAATAAAACAAGAATTGTAAACAAATATTGCTGTTATAGTTTAAATGCACCTCAGCCCAGACGACCACAAAATATAGAAAGACATAGAATATTCAGAGATCCTGACAATCCTTTGGATTACTAAGATGATGCAGAAAGAGTAAGAAAATACAGACTGTCACGTCCTACGTACTAGGATTATTGATATTTATTATATACTTAGTAGTAAATACAGATAAATTGTATGTGTAATACAATCATTGGCAAGCATGCTGTATCAGCCACCCGTGATGATATCGATATCAGCACGGTTGCAAAGGCTTTATCACACCTTTAATCTGTATGACGCCACGTCATCGATTGCAGTCACTGTTGCAAAGGCTTTATCAAACCCCTAATCTGTATGACGTCATGTCAAACCTATAATCTGTATGACGTCATTTCAAACCTCCTTATCTGTATGACGTCATGTCACATAAAAAACATCTACGTGAGGTATATGTATATAATAAAGTTTATCATATACTTAGAGTAAATAACTTATAATTTTTACAGTATGATAATAGCATTAAATTTACGTGAATTCCATATTTTTCGAATTGGTGCTTAGCGGGCTGATATGTATAGATTATTACATGGCATTTTTCATATCAGACCCTTTATCGGCCCTAAGTCATGATATCAGCCCAAGAGCCGCAGGCTCGAGGGCTGATATCATGAACGAGGGCCGATAAAGGGTCTGATATGATAAATGACATGTAATTATCTTTTTATCATATACTTCAACAGAAGAAATACAGACAAGAACTATTAATTAAAATTTTGTCTTTCCATGAATTTTTAGATAATAATTTACAGACAACCAATTACAAATGTCTTAACTTTTATTGTTTTTATTGATATTACAAGCATTTTATTTATCTTGTCACAACAATTAACATGTTTTTAGTTTGAAATTTGCTCCTCAACCATTTTGTGAAAAGTCTTAAATCACTTGCGGTTTTCCGCACTGTGTTGTCGTTTTCGAACAAATTACCGGAAATGCACGAAATTGCATGTGATAAACGTCACGGAAATTAACGGAAAGGCATGTGATAACATTCCGGAAGCAGTCAATAAAGGTTCCTTTATCAGCCCGCTTCTTCTGGTATACAGTTACAGCTTCATTTATATTGAAGATTACGAACTGTTGCATGCGCGGAGTATATGATTAAAATTATATAGAACAAAAATTTATCTTTAAATTTGTAGAATACTTGGTGATATTTACATGAAACAAAGACAACAAGTGATTAAAAATATGTACATTGGTATTTATAGAGTTAATTTATGTTGTGGAGAACAGTTGGTGTCAACTGATCTCTATAGGTTTCAATTGTTTGACATGCTACTACAACTTGTGGTAACAAGTTCCATTGGATGATTGTTTGCGGAAAAAATGACCATTTGTAACTGTCTTTAGAGGTGGATATTTGCCGAAATGTTTGGGTATGTGATTTTCTTGTTCTAGTATCTGATGGTATAAGGACTAGTGATGGAATTGCGATGAGTCCATGTATTACTTTATAGAACATGATTAGTCTGGTTTTGAGGCGACGCTCAGTTAGTGAGGGCCATTGTAGTTCGTTTAACATGGATGTAACACTACTGGTGTTGTGGTAGTTGTTACATACATAACGGGCCGCACGCCTCTGTACCATTTCTAGCTTATTTTTATATTCTGATGTGTGCGGATCCCATAAACTACATGCATATTCAAGTTTTGGTCTCACTATGGATTGGTATGCACGAGATTTGATATTGGTGTCTGATACTTTTAAGTTTCTCCTCAGAAAGCCTAGAGATTTATTTGCATTTGATATGATGTTGTCGTAGTGATTGCTCCATTTTAAGTTAGACTGTAAGGTTACGCCGAGATATTTTGCTGATGTTACTGGTTCTAAAATATGGTTATGCAGAATGTAATCGTGTTTGAATGGTTTCTTTTTCTGTGTGATGGTTAAAATTGTGCATTTTCCTGGATGGAAGGCCATGAGCCAATCAGCCTCCCATTTAGCTGCTGCATTAAGATCTGTTTGTAGTTTTATGCAGTCTTGTTGACATGTAATTTCTCTGTATATAATGCTATCATCAGCGAAGAGTCGTAATTTGCTGTGTTCAAGATATTCTGGAAAATCATTAATGTAAATTAAAAAGAGTATAGGCCCAAGGACAGTTCCTTGGGGTACGCCTGATGTAACTGGTGCTGTATTTGATGTTATTCCATCTATAACCACTGTTTGTGTACGGTCTGATAAGAAAGCCTGAATCCATTTTAGAGTGTTATCTTGAATGCCATAGAATTTAAGTTTGTAGAGTAGACGTTTGTGGGGTACTTTATCGAAGGCTTTGGCAAAATCCATAATAATGAGGTCTGTTTGTATATTTTTGCTGTTGTTGTTATGAAGTTCTTGTATAAATTGAATGAGTTGTGATTCACATGATCTCGATTTTCGGAAACCATGTTGGAGATCGTAGAGTATGTTATTTGCCTCCAAATAGTTCATGATGTTACTTGTCACAATATGCTCCATCAATTTACAACAAATACAAGTGAGTGAAATTGGTCTATAGTTTTCAGCCTTGTATCGTTCGCCCTTTTTAAATGCTGGCGCAACAATTGCATGTTTCCAGTCTTTTGGTGTTTTTCCTGATTTCAGAGATTTGGTAAATATGGTGTTAAGGATAGGTGCAATTTGTACTTTTAGTTCTTTTAAAACCCGTCCACTGATATTATCTGGACCACTTGCTTTATGTGGATTTAGTTTATGTAACAATTTTTCGACACCTGGTGTTGCTGAGGAAATTCTTAGGAATCTGGTCAATAAACCTAGTAATCCTTTCATAGCCTTTTAATATTTTTAAATGTTATTGAACAGTAAAATTTTAGTAATATTTTATACAAGTATATGATAAGAAAAATTTATCACATGCTTCCAGCTATTATCACATGCCTTTCCGTAACGTTATCGCATGGCATTCCGGCGTTACTCGGCACATTCCGGAAAATACACCTCAGTGGTACGTTTTCAGTGAAAAACAGAACAAAGTAGGGTACAAAACAATTATTATAGGAAACAGGAAAATATTTTATGTAAAATGCAAAAAAAACAAAAAAATTATAATAAAATAAATAATAAGTTTCCAGCAAAATTTAAAAAGTTACTTTACAAGTGTTGACCTTTCCAAACAGTGTTCATTATGTTTTGTTGAATTTTTTTTTTATCGTCAATATAAAAATATATTATACTGTTGTTTTCCCTTCTGTTCAGGCATATGGAAGAAAGATTTCATATCGGATGTATAACATTTGGACGTCCGGTCAGAATGGGGACGTTAAATCCGATGCCTCGTGTAACGAAAGTGCCACGTTCTTTGCACGTTAAGAACCCTTGCAACAACTCTTTGAGGGGTCCGTAGGTGACCTGTTGCAAGGCTAAATTTCTGTCCCTATCCAATATACCCTCATTTCCAGTGGCAGTCTAAATTTCTCCGACCTTAATCCCTTAATCTATTACAGAACCTACCTATTGTATTTATTGTGAACTTGTTCTCGTCCTGAATATGCATGAAATATTTGCCACTGGACGTTAAGCAACCAACAATCAATCAATCAATATAACATTTGGCGTCCGACGTCCGTAAACTTTTCACTTTTTGAACTTCTACCTGAGAACCACTTAAAAGGATCAATATATAAAACTGTTATTTTTCTCCACTGTTGAAGCATATGATAAAAAGATCATAACATGTAATTTTTCATATCAGATGTTTTATCAGCCCTTGGTCAATATCAGCCCTCGAGCCTTCGGCTCTTGGGCTGATATTGAACCTTGGGCTGATAATACATCTGATATGAAAAATGCCATGTAATAATCTGATAGTATATGATATGTTTTTTTCAATATCACACACCGTATCAACCCTCAACCAATATAATCCTTCGAGCAGAGCTCTCATGATTATATTGTTGTCGCGGGTTGATACAGATGTGATATTGAAAAAGCCATATGATATTCTCTATATACAGAACTTTTGAATTTTATCTCCAAAAACCAACGAGGAAATCTCACGCTTTCCATGTGTCTTTGCAAGTTATCATTGCTTTGAACTGGGACGACATCGTAAGACAGCTTCGATGCGAGGTCTGAGATATGTCGTATGATAGTGATAAGAGGATCATAAGACATGTCTTCAGATATATATTATGCCAGGTCTTAGGATAGCTCCGTACAACTAATCAAAGGCAAATGAGGTTAAAAAAGAGACGTGCCTAGTGTTACAGACCGTATGTTAATACCCCTTGATGTTTTTTTGTCATTGTTAGTCTGCTGTGTTTTTACCGCATACATTTGATAAAACTGCTTTTCGTGCATTTTAAACAATCGTAAAGGTTTATTCTCTTATGCATAACCTTACCTTTGACTTTTACTGAAGTACTTTTCCTTAAATAATCTTTCTTGCGTTTTTTTCGATTCCAAGCTATGCAGGTGTAATCCCCTCTATCGTTGAATGAACACGACGGAATCATGAGCACTGATGTGTTATTGGAAATCACTCCAATTAACTCCCTTACGACTACTTCATTAATTGCGTGCTGCCATGGATCAAATCCGTGTGTATCCAAATCCCCAGATAATGAACAGGACAACTCTATTGACGACGAACTGTTGCATATTGTTTTACCAACTATTTCAATAACAGGAGGATCTAAATGTAACGATATCTATGTACAGCAAATGTTGATCAATAAAAGTGGTTATTACTTATATATGATATTGTTATATTTGGACTACATTAAGCATCTTCTGTTTTATTTATATTTTTGAAAAATGTTTATCAATTTTAAAATGCTTTCGATTCCAAATCTCTTTGTTTAATAATACCGAATGGAAAGACGTGTCCTTATCGTACCAAAACCCCTGCATGAATTTCAAACTGTTTATTTGAACAGCAACAAAAAGATGTCATCTTATACACATTTTAAAAATTTCACCGGATTTGACATTAACTATGGAAGATATACTTAGATTAATAGTAGAGGAACATGCGCACACAGATATATTCCTTTCGTTATAAGATTGGATATATATAAAACAAGAACGGACGTTACGTGTGGATCAGAAACTTCATTCCCTCTTGATCACTTAACCCAAGTCCCAATTCCTACACACAGTTAGTGATGGGTTCGTGTAATTCAAGTTTAAATTGAATGTAAAATATTTTTTGTACTGTTGTGTATTTTCTCGTCTTTTTTTCGATCGTATTGTATGTCCATTTTGTAATCTTGTCTTTGATCCTTGCTATATTTGTATAAAATATTGTATTCATCTTTCAATCAAACATATATATCACCAACTTTCAATCTTAAGATACATAACATGTTACCTACTTACTAGTGACCTGCAAAGCAACAGATGTAGATGTTGTAAAGTTTTCAAACTGAGAACTGCATGTACAAATGTTGTCATCGTTTTTTGCTTCAATATATAAATCTACTGATACGTATACTGTAGATCCATTAAACCGCTCAGATTTTCTTGTTGGCATGTTATGACAATAAAACAACAGTTTTACGTCTAATGTTGACTGTACGATACATGTCATACGCGTATTTCTTCCAGCAATCAATGGTAAACCCCCTTCTGCCGTTATAAAGGGTGCTTCTATATCTGAAATAAAATGTTGTTCATATGAGTCTGAGTTCCTCCAGACAATTGTTAAAAACAAGATCAGAAAGAAGCCAAGTCATTTAATTTCACATTCAGATATATTGATGATATTCTTTCCATTAACAATCCGGACTTTTCTAATTTGGTTCCATTTATATACCTCCAGACCCAAAATTTAAAGAAACAACAGACACGGCTTCCTCCGCTTCATTTTTAGACATACACGGCCATCTCAGTACCAGAATCTATGACAAACGAGACGATTTTAATTCTGAAATTACCAATTTCCTCCATCTTAGTAGCAATATACGATCTTCACCTGCATATGGGATATACATTTCCCAACTTATTCGGTATTCAAGAGCTTGCAGCTGCTACTCAGACTTTTTAAAACGTCACCAGTTTCTCAGCAGAAAGTTGATGAACCAGGGGAATGTCAAAGAACGTCTGGTTCTTTTTCTAAAAAAGCTCATCGAAAGGTATCAATTGGTATACCTTGTTGATAAATATTCCTTATCAACTTCACAAATAATACATGATGGGCTTGCAGTATAGATGATGGGTACTGACGCTGTCATCTTGATAACGTGTACTAGTATTCTTTAATGTGTCTTTTTGAGATATCTACTTGATGTGGCTCGGTACTTGTTCATCCCGTTATTGTGCTATGGTAAATTGCTATTCTTGTCTTTCATTTTTGCTTATGTGCTTTGTCTAAATGCTTTTTTGTGTTTCTTTGTTACATATTTGTTTGTTTTATAATGATTCAGATTATAACACAATATTGACTGTTGTACCACTCTTGATATTTTTACCTATTATGTCTGTTTGTTTTGTTCGCACATAATATTGTTGTCAATATAATAGAATTTTATGCAACGGTTGTAAAAGTGAGAGGTTTGGCTAGGTATAAAACCAGGTTTAATCCACTATTTTCTACATAAGAACATGCCTGTTCCAAGTCAGGAATAGGACAGTTGTTTTCCGTAATATTCGTTTGATGTGTTTGAGCGATAAGGGACTTTCCATTTTTTATTTTCCTCGGAGTTTAGTATTTTTGTGATTTTAGTTTTTTCTTATGAAAAGTGTATTGTTATATTTTAAATTAGTCTATCGGTGAATCAAGGTCGGACACATATTAATTATGGGTGATGCTTTGGTGTTTATTTAAAATTGAATAGCGTTGATATCAATAACATAAATAAAACATGGCGACAGTAATAAAGGCTTGAATCGTAAAAATAGCAAGAAAGAAAACAAAATGAGATGATAATATAAACGAATTCTAGGAACTTTGATACCTTCAATAAAATCTAGTTGTACGAATCTCATTATAATTTTCAAATCAAATTGAATTTATTCCTCCCTCCCCTCCCCCCCCCCCAAAAAAAAAACCGTTGTACTTTCACACTATAAACCATTTTCAGTTAAATATGTAGTATGTTGGTTGTTCTTAAAATATATATAAGAAGATGTGGTATGAGTGCCAATATGATACAACTCTTCATCCAACAATTTGTAAAAGTAAACCATTATAGGTCTAAGTACGGTCTTAAAAGTTCTTTTAAAAGTGAAACGACTTGTATTGGGTCAGCCATTTATCCCATCATATGTGTATGTCCATGTCATAAGTCAGTGGTGGGAAGTAATATTTAGTTATTTATAAAAGTTTTTCTTCTGTGTAGAGTTTGGTGTTGTTGACAGTTCTTATTGTTGTCATTGTTAAGATTTGACACTTATTGTACACTCTAGATGTCTTTTTTTGTGTCGGTTGCGATTTTCATGACGTATGCTCTATTTTCCTTCGTTCATTTGTAATATTGCTTCAAATTTTCGATTAGTTTTTCTTCAAATTCGTAGATAAGATGCAAGTTTGAACACTAATATATGCACGAATCCCTTTTCAAAGTGCTTTTTCTTTTGTATAATGAAAAGTATTTCTTTAAAATATTTGGAAGCGTACACTTGTTTTAGGGTAATATTACATGTTCCGTATGTCGTAATTACAATCACCTTCCCCTTTCACGAATATGACCTACCGAGACTATTTACCTGGTTTGTAATGACGTGAGCAACACGACGGGTGCCACATGTGGAGCAGGATCTGCTTACCCTTCCGGAGCACCTGAGATCAGGAGGGGATTCAGGATTTTTTAAAATGGGGGCGTAGAATAGAATTTTCCAGCGAGCGTAGCGAGTCGATAATTTTTTTTGGACCTTTTTTGGCCAAAAAAACATAAGTATAAAAGCTATAAGTGTAAAATGCACTAATTTAATAGTTGCTAACGTAGGGCATGCATATTTTATAGTTAAAGTGTAAGGGTTGGACATTTTTTATGCCGTATTCTCTCTCTCTTTTTTTTTTACAAATAAATATTCTGTATTCAGATTGCTTGTTTCAATTTTACTTCATTGTCCAAGCTTCTATAAAGTATCCCTGTGAAATACTTTCTGGGTATCCCGGAAAATACACAGAGTATAATAAAATATAAACATTTTTTTTTCTTCAATTATATCAATCTTTTTAAATTTATGAAAAATACATTTTGAGATACTGTTTTGTTCTCATTCATAACCTTCGTAGTTCCTTTATAAACATACTAGTATACACATCTAAAAATTTAAGTTTTTGCTCGGAGACATAGTATGACTTGTATATACAAAAACCTAAAATTGTCAAAAAATAGTTTAAACCGTAATACCCCTGATCTGATATTTTGTATCCACATACTATATGTTTTGCTAATATCTTGTTTTGAAAATTAATATTTGCTAGAAGATAATGTACTTTCTCCCAAAAAGATAATGTACTTTCTCCCAAAAATCTTTCAAAAATGAACATGTAATAAAGAAATGCAAATAATCTTCTTCTTTTGTTTTACAAAAATTGCATTTATCGTTTTCAGATATTTTCCATTTTAATAGTAACTGCTTTGTAGGAATAATATACTGAAGCAGTTTCCATCTGAAAATTTTCAACTTGTTTTCCATTAAAATTTTAAATATAAAATCATATACAAATGACATATTTGGTACGTATTCTAATTTTAAATATCTTGTCCAAATGTTGATACCGATTGGCTTTGTATATTTTTTATCTACTAATCTTTATAGAGTTTTTTATTGTTGACATCTGTTGATTCAATTTGATTATTTTGCCATCTTAATTTAACCTTACATATATTCATTATACTCTTTACGGAGTTTTCTTTTTTTTAAACTTGCATCCATTCTTTTGGGATGCAAGATTTTAACATTTTAAACTCTGCAATCCAGTTTGATTTATTAATTAACATCTTTAAAATAAAACTTTCGGATCAATTTCCTTCACGATTCAATATGTCGTTAATGTACACCAATCCACTTTTACCCAGTTCGGGAAAAAAAGCATTTGTTGCAATATTTAATATATTTATTTCCCCAAATAATCTGTTTTATAATATCCGAAAAGTGATCAGAAAATGTTGCTAAACCTCCTCCTGTTTTAGCCCAACTTGAAATTACTTGTAAATAAAAATCGGGTATTTTTCCAAGTTCATTTATTGATTTTATATTATCTAAATTCATGTTAAAGACAAGAAAGTTTTTACCAAGATTGTTAAAATATTTGGTAGGAATAATCTTCCAGTTCGGCAATTTAGAGACCCATGAGGCTTTCAGTGCTGTAAAATAACTGTCAAAATCAATCATTCTTAACCCCCCTTTTTGGTATTCGCCAATAAGTGTGTTTCTTTTTACTTTGTCATTTTTTCCTTCCAAAATATATTTGAACCAACAATTTTCAATTTCTTTTAGGTAAATATCTGGAACTTTGCACGAAGTAGCCAAAAATGTAAATTTTGGTAATATTAAATTTTTTTGGACCTTTTTTTGGCTAAAAAACATAAAAATAAAAGCTATAAGTGTAAAATGCACTATTGTAACGGTTCCTGACGTAGGGCACGTATATGTTATAGTTAAAGTGTACGGGTTGGACATTTTTGATGCCGTATTCTCTCCATTAATTGTCTATTATAAAATGATTGGATGGACCCAAAACTATGTACCGATATATTTGATGTCGGATTTGTCAGTAAAAAATGGACATGGAAAAATTCTCCTTAGCCAAGTCAGTAGCCAAGTCAGTCACTGAAACTGAGGTCACAACTAGCGACTGAAGAATGCATTGCAAATTTGTGATTCGCATCCCTGATGTAACTGATCATATATACTAATACTAATATAATTGATGTTTTACTTTATGTAGTTATCAATAAAAAATGAACCCACAAACAAATTTATTGAGAATTTTCTAGTGATGACTTCTGTACAAATCTTTCGTCAAAGCCATATGGTTCATCAGAAGCATCTTTCTCTGATTTCGTCAAGAAAAATCGTCACTGGTTCTGTCATAGTCAAGTTCAATGTTTGTATGGACATACAAAAGTAATAGGACATATTTAAGCGTTAATAAAATTGCGCCCGTTTTTTTATACATTTAATGCTAAATAATTTTGTTGGAAATGTTTTTTATTCTAATAGCAAAAAAGTGGGCAAGATTATTGTTTTCAACCCAGGTACGGCAAGAATGTTTTTAAGGCAAAAATCAGAGCCAGCATTTTTTTCTCTCTACAATATTTTAAACCGCCTCCTCGAAAATCAAATGGTCCGTACCTTAGACTGTTAATCTATCTAGAGATTATTGACTGGGGATCATTATTCAGCGAATGTTATTAATGGACTGGGGCGTGTGGGCATAAACATGTTTTCGTAGGTAAATATTATAGCTGTGGAAATTTTTTTTATCATGTGAGTGTAATAGAGTATTTCTTTCTATTGGTGGAATTGTGAAATAGGAGTCAATACATCCTTGTTCCATCCTTTGTCGATTTGAAGGCGTCATGCTTGTCATCTTCAGCCTTAGCAATGTGGTCCTGTAATTTGAATTTCAAAATGACTGAGTGACTATTTTCGACGTACTGGTCAACCCAACGGTAGCGAATCACGTT